ACAAGAACAAGAACAAGAACAAGAACAAGAACAAGAACAAGAACAAGTACAAGAACAAGAACAAGTACAAGAACAAGAACAAGAACAAGAACAAGTACAAGTACAAGAACAAGAAGAAGAACAAGAACAAGAACAAGTACAAGAACAAGTACAAGAACAAGAACAAGAACAAGAACAAGAACAAGAACAAGAACAAGAACAAGTACAAGAACAAGAAGAAGAATCAACAACAACGATAACAAGAACAATAAGAACAACAAAAAGCAACAGACGGAAACATCAACAGCATCCTCCAAATTCGCCCAATTACTCTGACAACGACTACGTCTCGACTGAGACAGCATCTCCCCACCCCCACCGCAAAAGCACTCCCCCATTTATTGATCGCTGATTGGTTGATTGCAAGCTTGTCTTTGTCCTCGGTCCAGCTATTGGCGGATTACCAAGTTTAGTCATCTGTCTGAGCCTACGATTGGCTGATTACTGTTCATGTGACAAAGGAAGAGATTTACTCTGTTCCAAACCTAATCTCCACAGTCAGGTATTTAGAGCGGATGAAATTCGGGGATGACGTTGGACTTAAAATTTTCGTGTTTTTGTTTGTTTTGTTGGGAGGGGGTGGTTGAGGGGTGTGGGGGGGTTTGTTTGCTTATTTTTCTTTGGTGAGTGGCGATTGGTGAGGGGTTTTCTTGGGGTTTTTTGGCTTTAAAAAAAAGTTTAAATGAGTTTTACGGCACTTGCAACACAATTAGGTCATATACATGGCGAACTGGGCAGGTTGTAGAAGACATGGTGTTCAGTAGATGGTTTTTGTGAGGTTTGGCGGGTGGCTTTTGGGTGGTTGGTGGGCAGATTTTGGGTGGTTGGCTGGTGTTAGGTGGATGTTTGGCGGATAGTTTTTATGTGGTAGGTTGGTGGTTTTGGGGTGTTTTGGGGTGCTTGGTGGGTGGGTTTTTTCGGTGCTTTGGGGTGTTGGTGGCTGGATGGCGGGAGGTTGGCGGGTTGTTTTCTTGGCGTTTTGACAGGGAAGAAATTTGTTATCAAGTATCTGTCTTTCTGCTGCGATATTGTGTCCTTTTCAGCCCGGGTTGGCTCTGACAAGCAAGGTCTGGAACCCGCCTCCTTAATTATATAAACTGAGTCAAAAGGGACTTAAAAATACCTTTATTTCATGTATACCTATATTATACAAGCCAACACTGGATGAGTGGGGAACAGCATCTTAGTTGAAATATGAAAATACTTCTGCACGTAAGAATTGGTCTCATGTCTTCCATGAATAGTGAAGGGAAAAAACACACTAACAACAAAAAAACAACAACAAACAAACAGACAAATAATATAATAACCAATACATGCACTGATGCAGATGGCAGTGGTTCGAATCTTTTGGCACAGTCGTATCGGAGATGGACGAAATGGTTTCTTTCCCACATTGTCCTTTAACGAACAGAGATTGGGGCATCGTTTATCCATCAGGTAGACAGACAAACATACGGATTGACAGAAGGTGGAAATAAGAGTAGAAGGGAAGTCACACGAGTAAGCAAGGGAAAAGAAAGCCAAAAAGACCGCCTGTGATTGAGCGAATGACGTTTTTGACTGTGTTAAGTCAAACATTGACACAGACAAACTAATTTGCTAACTTAAACAGACGCCATAACTGAACGCACCACGGGGAAAAAAAACTGGAGGGAGTTTTGAATTACCGATGGACCAAAAGATTACTTTGAGCTCATGATGACCATGTTTATTTTCTATTTTTATTTAGTTTGGTGGGCTCTTTATTTTGTTGTTGTTTGAAAGGGGGGAGGGGTTGTTTTGTTTTGTTTTCAAACGTGGAGTCTTGATGTAGCTATTAGATTTTTTCATTGAACGAAAAAAGACGTCAACACGATTCCTGATAACTATAATCGATCGATCAATCAACCAAGCAACTAACCAACCTACCAGCCAACCAACCAACCAACCAACCAACCAACAAACCAACCAACCAACCAATCAACCAACATACAATCAATCAACCAATCAATTGTATAATTATGATCGTATTGGGCAATTCTTTAATCAATCAATCAATCAATCAATCAGTCCACCAATCCAATCCATCAATCCACCAATCCACCGATCCATCCATCAATCAAACAATTTTAAAAAATCAGTTAATCAGTCAATCAATCAAAAATCAATCAATCAGTCAATCAATCAATCAATCAATTAATCAAAGAAACACGGAAGGAAATAAGGAAATTTTTCGGTTTTAAAAAATCATTAAGTTTCCAAGTCTGTTTGCTGGAACGTTATGTAGACCTCAGCTCAGCCCGTGTATGACCCTGGCAGGCACGGTAAAAGTAGCTCGTTTCTTAATAAATGATCTAAGTAGTGTTAATTGGGACGTAAAACAACGACAATTACATTACAAGTCCATGATCTATTGCTTTCAGTGGCGGGAGCTCTTGTGTGGGTTTTTGTTCTTGTTTTTTTTTTCTTTCCAATTAAGCATCTGTTGTCCTGATATCTTCTCTTCATTTTCTGTGTTGATAACTTGTTTGTAACACCTCTATCTCCAGCTCGTATGACTTTATTATGTTGCAAGTGCCGTGAAACTCGTACTAAAACATAACAATACTGCGATCAAGGAGAAGGCCGCAGGAACCTGTAGAAGAGAAGAGTCACAGAGAATGATGATGATGATGATGATGATGATGATGATGATGATGATGATGATGATGATGATGATGATGATGATGATAAAGTTGAATCCCT